CTTATGCTCTTCAGTTTTCATCAAGAGATTACAATTTTATTTGGTATCATTTTCTCTGATATTATCATCCCACTGACCAGTGCTCCTCTCAACTCTTCCTTTCTCTTTTTATGATTTTCTAATTCAAGTTATAAAGGGATGTTTTCCAGGGAAGAGGCACTCACTGATCTGGAATTGCATTACCTAGATGCTATTGGTTTTTCTATCTCCTTTTGGGGAGAGAGAATAAAGACATCCCCACTTTGACCTTAATGACTTCAGTCCCAATTCTAGGTCTGAAGGAGAGAGAAACTGTTAAGGTCATCCCACGCCCAGGCCTGAACTACACACATGTGGGCTACAGATTATGGCCCCCCACTGGCAGAGATATAAAAGCAAGTTTTATGTTTTCCCCACAGTGCGATGTTGGCTTAGGAACCTTTGGCCCCTCTTCATAACTTCTGTTTAGTCCTTAGTAATTCTGAGCTAGCTGAATACTCAATATTCCCATTCCTCTTAGTGCAGCTCCACAGTCAGACTAGATGCTCAGTGTCCCTGCTTGTCTGTCTGTCTGTGTGCTGGTATCCCTTCTTCCTTTCTTTGCAGAATGCCCTTTGGAAAATTAAACATTGCTTCTATGTAGAAACTGAACACTGGGAGGAAATCATGCCTTTTGTACATTATTGGAAACACTGGGAAAGGGGAGGTGTCTAAGCTAATCTTAAACTACAGCAACATATCGAGTCTTTGGACATAATGCTCAGTGTTGGTGGAGTGCATTTCCTAGAGTTTTTTGAAAAAGAGCTATTTGGCAGGATATATCATGACCCTTAAAAGAAGATTCTAACCTTTTACCCACTAACTTTATTTCCAGGAATTTATGCTAAGGAAACAATTGGTGACACAGGCAGTAAACCTCTACAAGGATATGATGGCAGCACTATTTATATTAGCTAAAAGGGGATAGCAATCTGGATGTACACACAGAGAAAATGACCACATTAATCAGGTATACCATACAATAACATGCCCGGTAGCCAATGGAAAATGTACCAAAGTCTATTAAACGATGTTAGAAATCCTTATATTGGGTAACTTAAAAAATAGCCTGTTAACCATGCATATAATGTGCCAAGATGTTAACAGTGATTATCAGTAATACAAATTACACATAACTTCATTGCTTTTTTGTTTTAAGTATTTTTAATTTTTTCTGCAAAGCCGTAAATTGATTATAAGAATTTAGAAAGATTAATTTTCTTTGTCCCTACTTTCTGTATGGGATTGAACCCATAGCCTTGTACATCCTAGATAAATATGCTGTGGCATACATCCCTAGTCGAAGATAAACTTTCTGTGTATTGGTGAGCTTATGTCTCCAGTAAGAGCACCCTTCATCTCATACAAGCTCTATAACCGTGGTGTGAAGACCTAAAGGATCTGCTACATCTCTGTTGGGATTGGGAGCCCTGCCCGGGTCTAGCACTGTTCACAACATGGCCAACGTGCCCTGGCCGGTGCATCACACGCTCTGTTATTCCAGTGAGTCACCCCAGAAGGGTGTCAAGCTGATGACATTACTACCCACTGTACTTGAACTGTCAGCCACAGCCTCACACGCTGCCAAGGCTTCGGCTTATCTTCCTGAGCTGTTATTCTCTCACTGTGCTGAATGTCAAAGACGACACCATGATCTAACACACTACAGCCGATGTGAGCCTCCCAACTAGAGACAAACCAGCCCACAAGACTTCCTTCGTGCTAAAGTTGAAGCTGTTATTGCTGTAGTTGGGCCCTGATGAAGGCTTTGGCAGGGCTCCAGGAATATTTAGGGTGAAAAATATGCTGGGGTGTTCCGCTGGGAAATACCCAGCTGGGTTGAGGATTGTAAGAGATCTTTAAGGGTCATCTGCTAAAATTGGAGTTAGAAAGTTATTTCCTCCTGTTTTTAACCTTGATTGTTTGTTATGTTTGGCTCTGACAGTGGGAAAAGAATCGAGAATTTCTTAATGGAGGTTTTAGGGCTGAAGGTGAAAGCGACCGATTTTTGTTGGTCTGTTTTGGTTGTTTGGGATTATTGTGGTCTGAGAGTTTTTGTTTGTTTGTTGTTGGTTCTTGTCATTTTAACAAGTCACTGGTTGCCAGTCACTGCTGTAGTGAAGAGGAGATTGATGTTTATGCACATGTGAGTTATCATTATCCCTGTACATTTTAAGTCCCTCTCGTAGGTTGTATGAATTCCATCAAAACTAAAAGAGTGTCTCAGTGTCTCTTAGATGAGTGTGCCTGTGTATACAACCCTTCTGTTGCCATCAGCATTCTTCAGTGTATAAAGCAATGTGCACTGGTATTGTTGATATGGACATTTATGATGTGCAAATAAAAGGCATAATAGCTTCAGTAGTTGCAAACACCGTAAAAGTACTGTGGAGTATGCAATTTATTATTTCATGAACGCTGACACAGTGGTAATAGATTTTAAATTTTGGTCATTTCATAGCAAATAAATGCTGATAGACATTAAAATGTGCAGTTAATATTTATGGCAGCTAATATGGGATGTGAAGAGTCACTTCTTACAAGAGTTATGAGTGCCCTGCATTCCAGCCTCACCCCCACATAATTTCTGCCCTGTTTTCCTGACCAGGAACTGCTGGGATGTCTGAGGATGTAAAATGACATTCAGAACCCCATATTGTGTTCCCAGACTATGCTTCCTGTGCACATGACATAGGAAGCTAGAGGCGTTTCCTCAGTAGACAACGACTTTGTAGATCCTTTGGGATTATCCTGTAGTATTACCACAGGAACAGATTACCCCAGGCCTCTGAGCCCAAGTTGTTCTCTTGACCCTCCCCTTGTCTCACATAGCTTTTTGGTTTGGGCCATGATTTAGGAGTCCTTTGCGGGCCTTACTGACTGGCACATTATGTGGTGGGACAGAGAGAGGCCAGAGAAAGCAATGGCCAGCCCAAGTACTCGGGAAGACTGTTTCTGGAATCCCAAGCGAGAGTCACCAGGAGTGGATGCTAAACTCATCCTACAGTCTCTGACCTCCCACGAATGAGTCTTGCTTTCTCTGATGTTAGTTTTCTTTTTAACCTCTTACATCTTGTCAAATATACTTTAAGCTCTTCAAAGCCAGAAACTTTGGCAAATTACTTTTATCGTCTTGCTCATTCTGGGTTCTTACCAATGAATCTTTGATGGATTGAAATCTACTCTTTGAGTTTCATTTCTTCTCTTTGTATGAATCCCATCTGCTCTGTGAGTCTGCCAGACAGGACAATGGAGGCAGGACTGTGGGGTCGATTGGGATTTACTGTGTGCTGAGTCTTACCGAGTCTGCTGTTGTATTTCCATTCTCCCTTTCAAATGTTAGGCATCTGAAGAAAACTCATAACTCAGTGAGTAGGAGAATCACCAGTGCTGTGCCTGGGTCTGTTAAGCTTCTCAGGGCCTAGAGGAGCAGTGGAGGGCCTTCTTTCTCAGAGACAGAGCACTGGCAGTGAGAGCCCAGGCTTTGGGTCAGGGCATTGAGTGAATCTTGGCCCTGTCACTTAAAGACTGGCAAGCCTCACCATAGCCCAGGGTTTCACATCTGTGAAGTGGAAATTCTAGCAGTGCCTGTCTGTGGGCTTCTTGGACAGCTTAATGAGAGCCACTAATTTACTCACTAGTTAGCTCTTTAATACCCACAGGAATTACATAAATAATCTAGCTACGGCAAAAGGAACAAAACTTCCTCCCTCACGGGATACATATGCTAGAAATATAATACACATGATGACATTTAGTAAGTGTTTAATCAGATTCGTTGGAGGATATGAACTTTGCATAGGGTTTTCTCTGAATGCTGCCACAGGTCTTATTGTATCTATTTTGTATATATTTACACACACAAGCACTCACACACACTCAATACCAGCGTCATGTCTGAACTGGTGTAGCCCTAGTGCAGACCCTCATATATGACATGCATGTATTCTTGCTGACTTCCCACCTGCAGCTGCCCTCCTGTACATTCCACTCCCCCCCTAGAGAGCTTTGTTTGTAGAGTCCAGCAGCCAGCTAAGATTTGGGAACTGAGGTGCTTGTGCGGCTAGCTTGCCTCCACATCTTCTCAGCCACCTGTGTTTGCACTTTCTGTGACATGTCATTTCACCTAGGTGCTAAGGTGTTTGCACAATCTGCGGAAACAAGTCAGATGGCCAACATGGCCAGTTAAAATCTACCAGCCAGATTGTGGTAATTTCAACCTTTCCTCTCCAAACCTTTGGTCGGCTGCCCATCAAAGAATAAAATAGACAAATGTGAGGTTTTGGCTCCTTTCTAAAAACTGTGTTTTCACTGAGACTGTTCTTTGAGCATCAGAATCCACAGCAAGAGAAAGAACAGGCCTGACAGCACACCCCCCAGGGAGCTACACACAGCCGTAAGTTCTGCTTCTGAAAGGTGTGTGTCCGTCCTGCCCCTGTCCCCTAGCGTGTTCCTAATGCACACTTGGGTCTCCAATGGCACACAGCCCGTGTAGTTAAAAATGTAAACAGGAAATTGTTTTCTGGCTGAATGGCCTTTGTGGCCCAGAAAAATATTCATTTCTGCTGAGACGTAAGTTTTAAAGTACGCAGCAGTGAAGGCTAAAGGCTGGCTGAGAGTGCGGTCAGTGTGTAACAAAGCAGGCAACAAAACACAGAGCTGCAGATTCACATATGTGGGTCCAGCGCACGTTCCCCAAGGCCAGTGGTACAGTAGATAATGGAGAAGCTCGGGTCACCTAGAAAACAGTTGTGAGATGGGGCAAAGGGCATGCTTGTGCAACAAGACATCAGGGGAGAGGCGTTCCTTGGAAGATGCAAACGACTGACCTGGAGCACGGAGACTTGGCGGCATGCCTCTGGACTTTGGTGCTCCTGTGTTCTGCTGCAGCACCCTGTCATTTGGCCTCTCCATGAACCCCCTGTGCTCCCACTGTGGTTTCCCTATGTGCTGATGAGTTTTCTGGTTGTTATGTCTTGCAGCCCCCCGAATCCAAGCCCAACTTCACCCCTCTCGCCATCATGGCCCATGTTCTCGGCGCCATCCAGCCCTATGCCCACCTCATCCACGTCCAGCGACTCATCCCCCGCCAGGTCTGTTGCAGGGTTGGTTTGATTTTCTGTTGCTGCTGTTGTTCTCTCATTGGCTTGGTCCTCTCTTCACGCAGTGTTCAGCCTCCTCGTCAACTCTGTTCCCTGCCATCCAAACCTGCACTTGCTTTTTGACAGGCCAGAAGAAGCGGTTCGTGAAGACTCCAGGTAAAACCACGGATGGTGACTGACCTGTTCCCGTATGCAGACCTGGTCAGAGACATTGGGGGCCTCCTCTGCTCTCAGTGATTCCCTCCTAAGAAGCCAAGCCAAGAGGCACAATATGCATGGCCTTGCATGGCATTTTTAATACCCTTTCTAACCCTTACCCACATCTCTGAATTAATCTCTGGTGCTTGGATTTGAGGAATGGGGATCTCCAAAAATAGCACTCGTGTGTTGAATATTTTCTGAATCATTGGGTTCTCCATGTTTTGGTTGAAGATAATATCCTAAGGAGCAATGTTGACACACATACACACTTTCTTTGTCACTTGGTTATCAGGTAATATTTGACAGTGTGTGCTTGTGGGTTGGGCCTGTATTCCTGACGTCTCGTCCTAGACCAAATCTGCTGAGAGAGAAGAATATAGCACAGAGTGAAGGACCAAGACATGACGCACTTGCTCTTTACATTGCTCAGGGCTTCTGCCTCCCTACCCCATGTACTCCAGGAATCTTCTGGCCTCCCAGCCCACTTCTGTCTCTGAAGGTCATGAACTCAGAGTGCTCATGGGAAAAGGCACCACCTCTTTTCTGAGGGTGAATGGCTTGACCTCGCTCTTCTCCCAGAGGGCCATGCTTCAGGCCTGTCTTGGAGAGCTCAGCAGCTAAGAGCCACGGGGTTTGCTCTTGAGCTTCACCTCCAGGAAAGGGTGGAATAGAGATCCTGCAGATGCCTTCTGCTGCTTGGAGCCCTCGTGGCCAGCTCTCAGACTTGGCCTGTCCTCCAACAAAGCCATAGCAATGGGTAGAAGCATAGAACATTCTTGATTTGGGTGGGAATTTTGCATACTGCCTTTTCTGGCTCCATCAGGGAGGACTCTCACCATTTAGAAAGCTATGCTCCCTGTATACACAGGCGCATGACTTTACTCCCTTTGGGCGTTTTCCTATCTGTTGTGTCATTCTAGACTCATATAAGGGCAGGAAGAGAAATGGCCCGAACAACATTGTGGAAAAAGAAAATGGTCACTTCATTAAATGAGAGCCATTGCAGAGTTAGGAGTTCTTGTCATCTTCCCAGCATTTTTATTCTAAAGACCAGGACAACTCCAGTAAATTTTTGTGCCTCCCAGCCCTTAGCTCTGCTGGATGAGACACGGCTTTCCATCTACCTTGGTTCTGGATGATGGGAAATATGGCTGTGCACTGTATTTTTTTTTGTCTTCATGTCATAAATAAAGTAAAAATTAGATCCTGTTTTCCTAACACTTTAAGCTCTTTGTGGATGATTTCTTAGGCAACTGCTAGGCACTTTAGGAGACATTTACTTTCTAGCACACCAGAAACCATATGGATTATTCCAGGTAGGCTCCTCATTGACCCATGAGGCCCTGGAATGGACCAACCACAGTGACTCATTTACTTACTAAATAGCCTTGGGAATGAATGGAGGAAGAGACCTGGTCAGTCATCCTCATCACCTTAGACCATGGACAAGTTCAACAGAACCGCCATATACAGGTTGCCCATGCATGCTTCAGCATTGCCAGGGCATAAATTTCATTTTTCATTAGGGGAATGGGGCTAGCCTACATACAGGTAGTTACTCAATACTGTTCCCTCTGGTGTCCTTTTTAAAGGCACCATTAGGAAGATGCCCCACAATCCTTTAGGAATCTGTCATTTTGAAATAGGCAAGCCACAGTAAGGCTTAATATTGGAAGTCACTGAGTTACATGCTTATGTTACAGTAAGCACAGATGGAACCCTGCTGGAAAAGTAGCCCACTAGGAGGCCAGAGGTGGGTTCTAGTCCCTGATTGCTGTTACAGTGTATAGCCAAGAGTTGGGGGAGTGTACCCATTGTTCAGGTCAAGTGTCACTTTTCCTCAAACTGACTAACAGAACACAAAACTTCAATTTTTCTTTCCTTTGGCAAATATTTTAAGAGCAGATTCTGAATGAGGCCTAACTGGGGTCCTGGGAACCCAGGGCAATGGCTTCCCCTCTCCATTCAGTCTGCTGTTTGAGCTTCTTGTTTCAAGCTCAGAAGTAGAGGTACCTTTTACTGCACAGACGAGATGGGCACTGGAGAAAGCCCCTTTAACCTTTGCCCTTGTTTTTTTTTTTCCCCATTTTCCCATCTGTTTCCCAAGAAGCCCCCACATTAGACCCTAATTTGTATTTGCACTTGGACCCTGGGGAACTGCCTTAATGATCAAATCACTGCAGGCTGGCCCCTCCCCCAGGAGCGTGGCCCCTCCCCCAGAAGCGTGGCCCCTCCCCCAGGAGCGTGGCCCCTCCCCCAGGAGCGTGGCCCCTCCCCCAGGAGCGTGGCCCCTCCCCCAGGAGCGTGCACCACAGAGAGTGGGCTGTCATTCTGCGGAGCTTGCAAGGGCATTTGAGGGAAATTCCTCTGAGTGTTTTCCTGGCCTCATTCCACGCTCAAAGGCAAACACTGAAAGTGAACCAGCAGAAGGTTCCAGAGTTGCTCATGCCCTTGAAGGCCCATCCCAGAGCTAAAGAATGCTGTGATGGGGCCTGCTAGCACCTCCCCAGCCCATGTCCAGCTGCAGAATAGGAAGCCAAGCGACCAACAGTGCGGGCTTCAACCAGAGCCAGCGCTTCCCAACCCCAGATCCTTTAGCCAACAGGATCTGTTTGCTGAGACTCTTCACCTAAAGCAAACGCCTTAGGAACTTTCAGAGTGAGCTATGGGGTACGAGGCTTAAAGCAATGGCAGACTTTAACAAGACATGACTTCCCCAGTTAGAGTTGCTGAACCAAATAAAAACAAAGCCTACCCAGTTAAATTTGAATTTAAGATAAATAAGAAATATATTTCTTAGTAGACATATATGCAAAAAAGTATGCATTATTTATATGAAATTCAGATTTCATATAATCTGAGTAAGTGTCTGTTAGTTTCTATGGTGACCATACTTCTTGGGAATGGGAACAACACCCTTTAAAAGCATGTCCTCTAGGGCTAGAGACACAGATTGGTGCTTGCTTACGCTATCCATGGCACCCTACGTTTGATCCCAGACCTATAGGTGTGTGGGTGTGGGTGTGTGCGCGTGCGTGCACATGTGCACGCACGCACAAACATACATGAGCACACCCCTTCTGCATCCCCTCTATTTTCTGCACACCATTAGGCTGTTGTGGGAGGATCTTCCCATCAGTTGTCAATTACCTGTTAGAGAAAAACAGTCTCTTATGACCTTCATCTCACTGTTTTCTCGACATTTCATTACTAAATTGCAAATTTTTAATATTGTTGAAAAGTTAATCCCTTCTAATAATAGTTGTGGGTGCTAGAGACCATGGTCTCTGCTGTCTGCTTGTCAGACAGTCTCACTGGTTTCCTGGGCAGCCCCTATTCTGTCCCATGACCTTTATTTAATGAGGTTATTAAGTAACCTCTAGGGAAATCCCATCCAGAGAAACCTTGCCTTCCCTGGTCTCCTCACCCTGTGCCCACCCGTGCTGCTTTGTCCTCAGAGGCAGCCCTGGTCTCAACCTCGGCTCCTATGGCCTGGATTCTCCTTATAACCTGCATCTCATTCAAGACTCCACAGGCTTGACAGTATAATGCTGGGCTGTTTTAGCCCCTGTCACAGCCTCCTGGATGTTCTCCACCCATGATCAGGGCAGGAGGTGGGGAAAGGAGGCCACATTTTGTTCACCATGAAGAGCTACACATTGACTGCTGGGCCCTTGCTAACCCACATGCAGGTTTATTATTTAATGTGATGAGATCAGAAGAGCTATTTTCTAGCTGGAACTGATGGGAACTGAAGGCCTTTCTCCTTCATCCCCAGGGCCCCTGTATCATTTCCTTCTGCTTTCCCAGTTCTCCCCTTCCCAGCATCACCCATTGGCTATAAGAAAACCAGGGAGAGCTACCGTAAACGGTTGTTTCCCTGGCAACACAGTCTGGATAACCGCCAACTCTGCTCACCCTGCTGTACAACAGACCCTGTCAGTTGTCTGTCTTTCCATTTTCATGGACCCAAGACTAGAAGGAATACCCCCATCATCCTTCCCAAAGAGAACCTGCACTTGGTTGGTGCCCCTAAGCAATAGCAGTTTCAGCAGACCCAGCTCCCCTGTCAACTGGGGCTTTTCTAGTTCCAGGAGGCTCTCAGATTGTCAAGTGAAGACAAATTCAATGACATACATCTCCTGACTGGCTTCTTATGCCAGAGGCCCTCTGGCTTTTGAAAACTTGTACTTCTGGATTCCAGAGTGTCCTCCCTCAGATGACTTGGAGAAAGAAAGTCACTTGTGGCAAATAAAGAGCAGCCTTTGGACAGCCAGATGTCATTGTGACCTGTGAGAAGTCTACAGACGGCTAAGAATAGTCGGGTATCAAAGTCAAGCTTAACAGTCGAAGAAAGTAAAATTACCCTGTTCCCACAAATGACCCTGAAGACACACGGGCTTGTACCGCATGGCCTGTGATGGTCAAGCTCTGCCCCTGTTCTTCTGGAGATGACTTTTTACTGGAATGTGGCCTCACTGGTTTGTTTCCATGGCGTCCCTGGCTGCTGTGTGCGGCTGTGCAGCGTGAAGTAGTTACAACAGAGACCACATGCCTGCAAGAACTCAAAGATTGGCCCCGTTACCACAAAAATGTGCCAGCCTCGACTCTGGCTGCGTGTAATAATCCCTTGGAAAGTGACATGCATTTCGGTTTCAGTTCTGTTGCTTATAGTTTTATATGCACGTCAATAGGGCATGTAAGTGCTCTCAAGGGCATGCTGATAGCATGGGGAGAGCGTTGTCGATATTCATTGAACAAGAGAATCCGAAACAAAACACAGACTCAACCTCTGCCCCTCCCCGACTCCCCGCAGACTCCCACCCTGGTACACATGTGTGCTCACACACCGCTTCACACGCCTCCTCCAGCCTTGCCTGCCCTGGGGCCGGAAGAGTCCCAGCTTTGGAAGGCTGCCCCACCAGCGATGGAGAACATCTGGGGGAAGGGCTGAAAGCTGGCTCTGCTGGACTTTGGGTCCACTGGGCTTTGCCAACTTCCCAGAGCAACTTTTGGAAACATTCTGCAGAGCCCTGTGGTCCCTTCCTACCCCAAACATTCCCTCTCTGAAAGCTCTCCTCTCCCCTCCCAGGCCCAGCTGTTGTAACTCCCAGGTGAAGTTTCTCTGGGGCACAAGGTGACTTTGGAGAATTGTGGCTTCTTAGAGCATGGCCTTTTCTTGACTCTTCCTCAGCTCTCTCTTGTGGCCTTTAAGACTTTCCCACCTCCTGTTTTGCCATCTGTCTACCTTGTCCAGGCTCTTCCCAAGAGAGAGGGCTAGGTGGCTTGCAAGGAAAGGGAAGAAGAACGATGAGCTATCTGCGGCTTTCATGGTTGCAAACAGTGTTAAATAAACTCCCCTCTCCACACAGCACGCCGTTCCGGAAGGCCAAGGCCTTGTATGCCTGCAAAGCTGAGCACAACTCTGAGCTCTCGTTCACAGCGGGCACCATCTTCGATAACGGTGAGTTTCCCATCATCCCACCAGAACAGAGGGGATGCAGATGAATGAAGCTCCTACTGGGCCAAGAGCATCTTTCCCCCAAATCAGACTTCTGGAGGCCTTACCTTGGGTAGCCCCACATTAACATCTAGTCACTGAGTTGTTTGGAACAATCTCTGAGTGAGATTGAACCTGGCCTTGGTGTTTCACATTTGTGAGCTAGACAGTCAATGACAAGGGAGTGGACCCAGGATGGTGGCCATTGGTCACAGGTATCAGACGAGCTCAAGGTCACCTGTTAGGTCATGCTTTCTCCTTGGGATGTCCACCTGCATTGTACAGGCAAGGCCCACTCACCAGACAGCCAGGCAGGCCGTGAACCTCTTCCTGTTCCTCCTCCCTGGAGCACAGAACAGATTCTCTCATGTGACATCACACCCCAGCCACGGCCTGCCATGGCATCCTGGTGCAAGAACGTATTGTGGTGCTCCATGAAACCGGGGACCTGCTTGGTGTACCATTATCCCATTTCTTTTCTGTCTTCCAGCCTAGAAACGTATTTTAGAGTGAAAAGTGAAGCTTGGTTTGGCATAATTATTTGCCTAATAGGAAAATCTGGACCCCTGTGCAAACACCAAGTTTCTATGATGGTTGCTTGCCATGGTGAAGTTCTCCTTGAGGGTTAAAAGCAGTTAGTTGTGTTTGCTTCAGAGGAAGCCAAAGAGGCAGCAGCCTTTTTCCACAACCCAGGCATTTATTTTGGTAACCGTTTGACTCAGGTACAGTGAAGACAAAGGTCACCAATCTGGCTGGGCACCCCTGCCGGGCCATAACCACCCCTCTCCCCCCATGTGACTGAGAAGCAGCATAAGCAGGTGAACCCTAGAGCCAGGCCACAGTATGTAGCCCAGTCTGACTACTTGCTCTGATGTGACCTCAAGTGGTGACATGACTTCTCTGTGCCCTGGTTCTCTTCTCTGTCACAGCAGAATGCACACCTACATGCATGGTATGGTCAAAAGGACATCAAGCTGATATATAGTGTAGGCATAAAATAGTACTGACGGAACAGGAAATATTCAGTGTGCTATCCTTACTATTGTCACGACTCTGTGTCCATCTTAGAAAAAGGACCGTGGTGCTGTGAAATGGTTTTTCTTTTGGGGCTATCATGGCCCAGCCTGACTGACTGTCAGCTAGCTGTAGGCACCGTTTCTGTCTTTGGAACCTGTAGTCCCATCCAGAGTGCCTGGCACCAGGTATCCCCCACACCCTGCATTCTGCCCACCTATTCAGTCAGGCATGAGTAGACCCGGTGGGAAACACAGCACCCAATGCAGGGAGAGTCCCAGCCTGGTTCTCCTGGGCCAGCAACAGCTGGGGCAGATTCGAAACTGCAAGTGTCCCGACGAGCCTGTGGTCCCCCTCCCTGCTTCCCCGAGTCCAGAGCACCATGCTGAGGCTTCCGCACTGCTGACTCTCTTCTGGGTGCTTTACAAACCTGAGTCCATAGGAAAGAGCTAGTGGAGCCACCTCTGCTGTCTTCAGCCGGTGCTTGTGAGCCTAGCAGACCAGCACACACAGTGGGTCTGCGGAAGACTGTCCCAAACCCTGCCGTGGTGAGTGTGCCCCGCACAGAACGGCGGTGATAACATGGCACAGTTTCCCCCGATGGACAGATCAGCATGGGCGTCACCACTGGGGCGGTTGTGCTCCTGCCGTGGGTGAGTGATCTATACGGTTCTGAATTCCAGGATATCACCCCACAGCCACACACATGCATACGATGAGCCCATGCCCTTTAGCAATCGTGCTGCTTTGTGCCTGAACCTTGGACATTTCATCCAAATAGAAATTACATAATATGTGGTCTTTGTATTTTCTTGTATTTTTAAATGATGTTTTTCAAAGTTATCCCACGTTGTAACACATATCTGCAATTTATTCCCTTTTATGGCCAAGTCGTATTTCATCGTGTGGCTGTACCAAAATTTACTTCAACATCTACCAGTTAATTGACGGGATAGCTTATTGCCACTTTTTCCCTGTTAAGAATGGTATCCTGTTGATATTCATGTTTGAGTGTTTTTTAAAAATTAAGTTCCTTTGGGATTGCTGGGTCACGTGGTGACTCTAGATTTACTGTCTGAGGAAAGGCCAGATTATTTTCATAAGGAGCTCACACTGCTCTGCATCCACCCCTCGTTCATTTTAAGTCGCATTTTTGACATAGCCTACATAGTGAACAACAAGAAGTCAGGCAGACACAGCCCAGGAGTTTGACTTGCCAGGGCCTCCCCTTCCCAGTGGGGTGCTCTGCCCGGCAGGTGCTGTGACTGCTCCCACCCACCACCAGGTAACCTTCATAACTCCTCTAAAGACAGACACACGTAGCAAGAAAGACGTTTGGTTCCCTTCCCACGCACTCCCGTGATCTCCAGGGTTCACCAGAGTTCTCCGATGGTGACATCACGTGCTTGCATGTGACCGTGGGCACGCTCATGCTGTGATACACATGTGGAGTCAGAGGACACTTTTTTTCTTTTTTTCTAACTTTCCTCTTATTATTCTTTGTGTTTTTCGCATCATGCATCTGGATCCCATTCATTTCCCCGTCCCTTCATAGCTGCCCTCTGCTCTTGCAACACCTCCCCACCAATCAGAATAAAATAAAATTTAAGAGAAATAAAGAAAATAGGAAAAATCAGTCTCATCCTGAAAGCTGCAGTGTGACACAGTGAGTCACGCAGTAAACTCCTTTGTCCATACGTCTTTACTTGCAGGTGTCTGTCAAAGAGTCATTGGTCTGGTTCAAGGCCTCTGGCTTCTGCTACACTATCATATCAGTACTAAAGCCTTGCTGGGACTCCTCTTGTCTATCCCGCTGCTGCCCTGTGTGTAGAGATCCTGCAGCTTTGGGTCTGCAGGACCAGCCCCCTCACATGCTTCAGCAGATCACGTAAGGGGTGAATGTTGGGGTGTGCCAACTCCTAACCCTGGTTCTGGGCCTGGGTAGTTACAGGGCTGGCCAGCCGCCAGTTCTCACTTGTCCTCATACCAGGGCGAACTCTCCAGCACTGCCCTGGCAGGTTCACCCCTTTCAGCCATGAGCAAGGGGCTAGGCCAGTTCTTCTGCTTTCAGGCCCTCAGGGTCGACTCTCCCACACCTCTACCTTTAGAGCCAGCTCTACTGTGCTACCCAGGTGAGGTGCAGAGCCTGTTCTCCCAGGCACTGCAGCTGGTGAGGGGCAGGGGCAGCTCTCCCACTCTTAGGCCCTCAGGACCAGCTCCCCCACCTACCTCAGGCATAGAAAGGAGAGGGCATCTCTCCCTGCCCATGCCATATGGCAGATAAGGGCTGGGGCCAAATCGTTCATGCTCAGTCCCTTCTGCCCACTCCCCACCCCATCAACAGGGTCAGCTCTGCTGCGCTTCCCAGAAGAGGTTGCAAGACTGCTTACCCAAGTGTTGCAACTGGTAAAGGGGAGGGCTGGATAACTGGAGGTGGTAGGGGAGAGGGGGGAAGGCTTCTTTTCCCTCACCTCCACTACTTCACCACAGACAAGGGAGGTGGTACAAGTTCTGTGCCTCTCACACCTTCAGGGTTGGCTCACCTGTGCTCTTGGAGAGCATTAGTTCTGGAGGCAGTTCCTTCCACCTTCTCGTGAGGCAGGGTCTCTCTTGTTTCTTCTGTGTGCTGCAGACTCCAGTCTAGCTTCCAGCTAGTTCTCCTTCCGCCTGCCATCTTACCATAGGAATTCTGGGATTTCAGAAGCACACCACCACCCTGGCTTTTAGCTGAGGTTCTGGAGTCATCAGCTTCCGCAGCAAGTGCTTTTATGCTTGGCGCTGTATTCCTGGCCCCCGACAGAAATGCTAACCCGCTTCCTAGACTGTTTTGCCTGGTCATATTTCACCGGATCCTATTCTAGAGGAAAAATCTCCTTTTCCTCGGTCGGAGAAATAAAGCGTTACCAAAGGCGATAATTAGGACGTTGGGTGGAGAAGTGGCCTTTTCCGACTGCTGCCTCCCTTGTTGACCCTGGAGAGGTAAGGTTAAGCCTGTGTAGCCTGGACACTCTCTGCGGCCGTCAGGTTGAAGCTTCCAGCAGACAGTATTTGAACATGTAAGCTGTTGTTATAAGTGTGCTGTATTTTGTGTGCAGAATAAGGAAGAGAAGGGAAGGGTGTGTGGGGTGAAAGTCTGCTGTTCTGTAACCCTTGATCTCTAAGCCTTGGGATTCCAGGGGCCCAAGTTGGAACTCTGGGGTGGCCGCTTAGTCAGCTCCTGGCCTCCATGTAGCAGAGGGTTGATGTGCAATACTGGGAAATATCTCCAGTGTCAGCTCTTGCCAATCTACCAGGAAACTGTCCACACTGCTAGGAGCACCTCAGACAGTAACTGGAAAGAGAAGTAATTTGTGTTCTCAGGAACATTAGTCACCCGGAAGCAGTGTGATTTGTGATACCTAGAAAATTCGCACGGCAGTTGTAAAAATTGAGTTCTTGGGATACTCTTTTCACATTTTGAGATGAGGGTCTGGGTGACAGATCTGTAGGTGACATGTTTGCTATGTGGAGATGAGAACCTGAGTCCCATGCCTAGTACCCTTGTCAAAAGCCAGGCGTGGTAGTGAACCTCTGCTCGCAGTGCTGGGCAGATGAAGACGGGAAGGTCCCTAGAGCTTGCTAACCGTCCACTCTAGTCAAATCCATGGCTTCCTGGTTCAACGAGAGACTCTGTCTCAAGAAATAAGGCGGAGAACTGAGGAGGACACCAGTACTGGTCTCTGGCTTCTACACACACACATACATACATGTTCACATACATCCATGCGCATGTGTGCCTGAGTGAGCGAGCACACACACATATTTGAGATGAGCTAGATCCTTCATTGTGGTGTACAATGAAGCACCATTGCCAAACTAAGCTGTCCCAGGTACCTTTCAGGTAGACAGCATCCTTGCCCGAGAGACCACGAGCTGCCCAGGTCTCAGCCTCCCTCCGTGCTCCTCTGCCAACCAGCATCCCGCTGATCCTACCATCTCACCTGCATGTTCCCACCAGCTGCCTAGCAAGCCCCGCCATTGTCACTCTCGCCTCTCAGCCTAGTTCTGCATACAAGCTAGAGTGAGCTCCCAAATCCTATCATACTGTTCCTGTTTGGAGCACTGTGTGGCCTCCTGTTGCTCTGTGCGGCACCTCTGAGGCCTTCTGCAGCCCAGCCCTGCCTCCTGACCTTTCACCCTTACCTCATGCACCACAGCTTAGGAGGACATATCTATAAACTGCTGGCTGACCAACTGCCTCTTTTTGTAATTAAAGTTTTACTGGAGCACAGTCACCCATGTTTTTTTGTTTGTATGTTTTCTATAACACTTCAAGGAAGTGCCATACCCTGTGGCCTGTTACAGGGAGTTTACAGACCACTGTTCTGGGATCACATGTAACTTTTCTGTGTCTTAGGGCCTTGTGTCTGCCCTAAACACTGCTGGCCGACACTGTAAGAGCCTTTAGCTTGTAACTTTCAGAGTGTCTCCCCTCCTCCAAATGCCCATCTCTTTTCCCCTTATATTCATATTCTCTCTCTCTCTCTCTCTCTCTCTCTCTCTCTCTCTCTCCTCCCTTTCACTAGTTTATTGATACATAATTATCACTTCTCAAAAGTGACGTATACAAGAGCCTAGCACAGTGTGTGGCCCATGATAGGAGCTCAGAAGCCATTTGAGTAATGAGGAAATATAGCAGGAATAATAAAAACCCAGAGACAGATATTGGGGTTCAGCCTGAAGATCAGAGAAGCAAAGCAGCCAAGCCACTAGAGAGCTTTTACCTCTATGAAATCTTCAGACTGAAAGAGAGCGAGTTCCTGTCTCATCCCGCCTTATATTCCTCTCTAGTGCTGGGATTAAAAGTGTGCACCACCACCGCCCAGCCTCTATGGCTAACTAGTGTGACTGCTGGAATTAAAGGTGTGTGCCACCACTGCCTGGCCTGTATGGCTGACCTGTGTGGTTGTTTTGCTTTCTGGTCATCAGGCAAGCTTTATTTATTAAAATACAAATGAAATATCACTACAAGTAAATGCCTGTTAGTCACACAGGTCTGTAATTTCCTCCCATGGAGGCTTCTTCCCTCTGGGGCTAGCCAGCCATTAGAGACTGTATCCCATGTTTGCCCATTGTCCATAGTGAATTAGCAGGGAAGAAAGCATGAGCTGAGTGTACCAGAGACCTGTGGTGTATCTCAGGCTATAGCAAAGAGCGGTTGGGCCCATGCCACTAGCAGCTTCTGTGTTCACTGTTCTAGATTGCCGCCCAGGCAGCTCCTTGCAGTGTGTGGCGTGCACATTAGTGCAGTTCAGCCCGCCAACCACTAACTGAGCACGTCACCAGCCAGCATACGGAGGCAGGCTTAAGCAGAATTGAGACTGTGGTCAGATGTCCCGGGCCTCTAGTATGGCTCCATTAGCCACCAGCTGTGTAATTTTCGCAGGCTGCTTCACCTTTTGGGCCCTGAGTTTTTCACCTGTAGATGAGGATCGCAGCAGAGCCAGCTCTGTGTTCACATGGAAGCTGATATAGGTGGAATGCCTGTTAGTAATGTTTCTGCTGTTGAGCGTGTGCTCAGCCTGTCCACACCATCCAGAAGCACCTTCTCCTGTTGAACCAAAGCAGGATATGCGGGCCAAGGCTTTGGTCTCTGGGTTCAAATTCTGGTTTTACTCTCACGACTAAGTGCAAATGAACTTGTCTGAAATTCTGAGCATGTGACCCCCATGGTATTCAGCCTTTCCAGCAGTCGGGCTGTGTTGTCATGGGTGATGTAGAGGGGACTGACTGGAGGTTGTTGAGCCAGATAGCCGATAACAAAACTGAGATAGGAAAGCATTTTAGCCGTTTAATAGGACTCATGAACGCTATGTGGGATATGCCGTGAATTTTCCAGAAATCAGGAGGTGGGAGAAGCAGGTAGAAGCAAGTCCATCATGCTATTTATAAAGGATTTGGGGTTTTATCTGAGCCCTGTATGAGACCAGGGAACAGATTCCAGCAGGAAGGAGTGGGGCATCCAGGCTCCCACCTCCAACAGCCAATCAGAACTCAGATTTTCATTCTTTAACTATCACCTTTCCTACAAAGGTGTTTTGACACGGGAAGGTCGTAGCTCCTCACTTCTACAAATATGTTAAGATGTAGGTGCCTAGGGCCCAGGGATCTGCACATTCTGTGAGCGTACAGGTGGGGCTGGTGCATTGTCTAGCACTAGGCTTTAAGCAGCCATGGCTCAGAGACTCCAGTGAGTCAACAGGCTCTTCAGGGGTCTGCTTCGTTCCCTGAAATCTATGCAACACATCTCTAGGTCTTCCTGGCTCCTCCAATTCTTCCCGCCGTCTGCAAATTCCACTCAGGTTTGTAGATAACCTCCTCAACACCCATGCTCTCTGAACGGCTGTGGGAGGAAGCAGACACACACACTCACTGAGCAGCCGTGCTGGAAAGAGGCAGCGCTCTTCGGGTTGTCTGTATTTTGTTCAGATGGCATTTTTCCTATTAACTCATTTATTTGGGGGAACAGGTTTAATTTGTTCATTTTTGGTCCAGAACATCTAAGGTTTCCTGAAACTTTGGTGGGTGCAGATACCAAGCCCAATATCAAACTGGCTGGTGGAAGGGCCCTGGATTCCTCCTGTCTCCACCTCCCACTGCTGGGAGAGCAGGTGTACACCGCCACAGCTGGCTTTTTATTATGGTTTCCGAGCAGCTGAACCCAGTTCTTAGACTTAGGGACCTTTTCCTGTGTTTGTTATCACCTCCCTGGCTGCTTGGCCCTGTTTTACTGGCAGGGAGTTCCTTACTTACTAACCTGCCCTGGGAGCTAATGATGCTCTCACAGTGGTATCTTTAACCCATACCAGAAACCACAGGGAAGATTCTGCCACCACTGTAGAGGTGCAGACCTAGAAATGGTCTTGATAGCCTCAGCCGTTGGCCAGGCAGAGGGCAAGCCTATTTGCTCCCTAGGAAGACCTTTGGAACCTTTGGTACCTAGAGAGGTCGGGCCACCCTGAGTGCTGCAGACTCTCCCCTGTGGGGATGGTGTGGGTCTGACATCTGTTTAGGTTTCATGCTTCGGGCCTCGTGGTCGGAAGTTATGAAAGGTTTCGGAGGCCGCTGATAGGTGTCTGCCCATGTTCTCATCTGAGGAATGTCTCCGCACACATCAGTCCTTTTAGAAGTCTCAGAGTCCGGGATTTTGTTTCCTCCTCATTGGCTTCCATTGGTTTCTGTTTTCCTTTCCCTACAAACCGAAACTAGAATTATACAGTAGTGTTGGGGCGGAAGTGCGTTTCTAAAACAAGCTCAGGAAGTCACTTAATTAGCCCAGGAAAGGAACAGGGGGAAATCCATTCTTTCTGAACAATCTTGGATAATTGGGGTTTTCCTAATCCGCGTAGAGTGAGTACCCTGTCCCACCCCAGAGTGAACTATGCTTGTATGGTTGGCTCACAAGTAGGAACACCCCACCTCCCCCTACACACACATCTCAGAGACTCACAAATCCATCTCTCTTCCCTCCCCTATGGTGTGCTTTACAGACTCAGCCAGATTTCTCTGTATCTTCATTGGTGGTTTCCATAGAGAGGGATTGTGACATAACGGAAGTGGGTCTATAGTTTGTGGATGTTGAAAAAAAAAAAAAGTCAGAAGACTAGAAACTTCGAAAGTTGCCCTGGAAGAAGCAGACAACCTTCTGACTTGTTTATAGGAAAAGGAAAAGTTCTAGGGTATAGGAAAGCAAGGGAGGGTGTGGGTGGAGCAGAAGGGAAGCTGCAGCCTGCAGCGTGAAGTCAGGATCTGCAAGGAAATGGGCTGCACTGTAAGGATTTAAAGGTACAGAGCAGATGGGTCAAGCTGGGCATGGTGGCTCGTGCCGCTAAGCCCAGACCTGGGAGTTCAAATCTAGACTACAGATTGAGACCCTCTTGATAAAAATAATAAACAAATATGCAAAACAGATAACCCACAAAGACTCGTTCCTAGCAATCCTCCAGGGGCATGCCATTGGTACATGCCTGATAGTGAGTAGGATGGGTTGATGAGTGTACGTGTGCATATGGAAGGGTGGATGGACGGGTGGGCATATGGGTGGGGCATCCCACCGTTGACCTCTAACCTAAAAGAATGTAAATCTGTTTCATGTAGTTTAAAACAGGAACTTCAGAAAATTCATAAAGCCCCCGAAACTGCACATAGAAATTTGAATGCCAGAATGTTTCCCATTTTGTTGTGGAAAGAGTTCAGAACAACTTTATCAGAAGGGTTTCATCCCACAAAAGGTTAACGACCTCTGTTTCGAACCAGTCCTGGAATTACATAACAAGCAATTGTACTCTTTCCCCTAACTTACCTCCCACATCCTCCAATGCATACTCAGCTCCTGCTCTGCCCATGACCTCATCTCCTCTCACTCTCTCCCCTTCCTGCACAGTTCATCCATCTCAGGAGCCTGGCTGGTTGGAGGGGACTCTGAATGGAAAGACTGGCCTCATCCCAGAGAACTACGTGGAGTTCCTCTAACCTCCGGCCCCGGCAGAGCTGCTGAGCTTTACGTGGTCTCCATGACAACTACTGATTCTGGTGTTGTGGACCACTCTTCATTGCCACTGAGAAGGCAGGGAGCCTGACTGTTGCTTCTTGCCAACATGAATGCATCCGGGAACTTGTATCACGTCTCTCCATGATCATCTCAGCTGACAGCACCGCAGTGATGCTGCAGGAATTGAAACGCAATGAGCAGAGGAGGCCATTTGATTTTGGTAACCTCGAGGAAGGCTTGCAAAGCTGTTTTCTCCTGAGTGCCCCAAATAGCGAGCCCTGATTTCATTTCAGCCATCATCCAAGCCCCCGGCCTCCTGGAAAGAGGGAACAATGAGAATAGCTCTACAGAAAGTGCAGCATTGCTGCACTGGACAAGGCAGGGCAGTATGCTACAGGCTGCCTCTACTGCTGTTTACAGCGGACACTTTCTTTCTCCTTCCTTCTCCCAGAGACACAGTGCTGCAGGCAGCTGGGCCTGTCGGCAAGCACACAGGATGAAGAGGTTGCCGCACTGTTTATGTAAGGTCCAATCTCTCACCATCTCTTGAGCAGCTGTTGGCCCATGATCAGCAGTTTTCGGTCCAGTCCTCTTATGCAAAGAAGCACATGCCCCTCACGTTCTCTGCCACTGAAGGCTTCCATCACTGCCATCACCTAGTAACCATAGCAACCCAACCTACTCTAAAACTAAGCCAAAAATAATACTCCTCTTTGTATGACACCGCCTTCTTCCAGCTCTGGTGGTTTTTTTGAATGGTCTCCCAACAATCTGAAACAGAGGATTAGACCATTAGGGTGGTCTGTCTGGGGCAGACAGGATAGCAACTGGGGACTGTTTCTTTTCTGGTAAATGTCTGCATCACCTGGATAGGTTTGGAGCAAACTCTAGGAACCTGTTGAGATTAAATCCCATACATGGTCAATACTTCTGTTCTTCATGCAATGAGTTTTTGCTTCAGAGGGTAAGATGCTGCCTCCCTCCAGGCTAGCGTTTGATGGGTCCCTTCTAGCCCCCCTCTCCCTGCTGCCTGTCTCTGCCCTTGACAAAGACCCCCAACTACTCTCTAGAATGCTTTTGCTATGGAGGTCCTGTGGAGTTTAGAGATGATTCTTGGGCCAAACTTGTAGCTTGCATTTTTAAAGGACCTCTGTATACACTGCCACCCAGTAAAAGAAGGAATTATTAACTAGGTTGCCCAGGCATGAGCCTAGTATAGACCAATAAGAACCTGGAAGACACCAGATGTTGAGGCCTCAAGTCTTGGCTGGGTGCCTTCTAGAGGTGATTCCTGAGTAAAAGGCACTGGGTCTTAACTGTTGTGCCTGGGAGACAACCTGGACATTGCAATGTCACATGACCTCCAAAGAACAGACTCATGGTATCTTCACACATGAATGACCTTATTAGACAGACTCTGGGCAGACAATCTGTCATGCTCGCCAGAAGCCACTTGGATGGCAGGGTTGCTCCAGAGTGTCTCTGGCTCTGGAATTCCCTAGGGTTCTTTAATGAAGAAAAGAAAAACTTGAATTGTGTTGAATTACTGTATCTTTTGCTTTTTTTTTAAAGATAAACTTGTAAATAGAATGATTTGAAATATTATATGGTAAAGTTTTATATTTGATATTCTTTAAGCTAGTCGCTCCATGTAGTTAGTAATTTTGATTGCTGAGCAGGTGTGTTTGAAAGGGTGGGAGAGAGGCAGGGCTGATGAGTCAAGGTCATGGCCCCTCTCTGACCCAGTGAGAGAATGCTTCCTTATGGTTCCTGTCGGTTGACCTGAAAAGCTAATTGTATTCGGTTTTCTTTATCTCCATGTGATTTGGGGCTTTAGAGTTCAAAAAGCATTTTCAGGTAATAAACTCCCATCTAACAGTAAAGTGATACTCAGGATTTAGATAGGCGGGGCAAGGGGAGAGTGTTTGTTTTTGTTTGTTCTTCTCAGGTATATTTCTTGGTATCCCAGGATGTCCAGACAAAAGGAAAGGAGACAATTGCTCGTTTTCTTCCTCACCTCCTAAGGGTTTATAAATACAGCCTAGCTAGTGTGTAAACATATCTATCAGTTCTAAGAACAAAATAAGAAAGCCAGCTGCTATGATTCCGAGTCCTCTCTTTCTGTAGATGTGTTTCTGGGCTCCCCTTTCACATCCAGGTTCCCCACAAGAACCCGCCAAGAAGGAGATAGACAGTTTCCAGTGTGTGTGGCTGCAATGTTAGTAGGAGTTCACTGTAACTCAGCACCGAGTTTACCAGCTAAAGGACTGTCATGTTGTCACCCGGGAACTCAGCTAGGAGTAAGGGGACTCCACCCTTCAGTCAGGTTCCCAGGCTGAAGCAGAGCAAGGCAAACACAAGACTCAGAACTGCCACCGAAGCTGGGTACGATGGCCCCTGTCTGTAGTCTTGGCACTTGGGAGGCAGAGGCCAGAGGATTGCTAAAGTCCTAAGCCACCCGGTTGTGGGGGTGGGGAGCAGGGTTGAAGTCTAAAGGAAGGAAGGAAATGGACTCTTCCCTGTGAGCTTGAGAACAAGCTGGGAAATGGGGCCTGAAGGGCGTGCACGCTCAAGTAGCACTGCGCTTTCCAAATTGGAAGAGCCCAGCGTGACCCTTTTAATATGTCTGATGATTTAAATAGTCACCAGCCTCATCATAAGCGAGGTGTTCTGTAGTCAGGGCCCAGCATGACTGCTTGGATGCACACTCCTCTCCTGAGCTGGCCCTGGTGTGAAGCTGCTCTCTGAGGCTGACCTCCTTCCAGTTTCCCCCAGGCCATGTGTGGCCTATGACAGATGGCCACTCTGTTTCCCTCTGTCCAGCTAGGCCTCCCTTCTCCCCATCAGCTGAAGAACTGGGGGGATGAATATGAGCCAAGTGAACTGGAAGATTAAAAATGAAATGTACCCTTTCTGCTCTCTGAACGCCCGGTAGCTCCCACGAATAAGGAAAACTGGGGTAGGATGTAGGGAGTGAGTTACCAGAATGGAAGTCCATTGACCGAACTCCCAAACATTCCCCGGAGCTTTGAGTTCCTCAGTTGGTTCTGACCTGAATCTGGGGGCCTTATGATGATTGGCCTCACTCCTCCTTGAGAGACAGAGTTCCATTAACTGAACAGTGCCATGCTATGAGAAGACAAGTGTTTCAAATCCCTTTCCCCATGCAAGGGAAATCTGGACTTGCTCAAGATTATTGAAATTCTCTCCCAGTTTTCAAGATCAGTGTATAAGAGTCAACTCCATTTAGTGGGCCCTCCGTAGTCTATCAGTATTGGGGGCAGTTTTTAGTATTTCTAAAGCCAATGGGGGAAGTCTCATGGGTGCTTTTCTACAGTGAAGCAAAGACAAAGGCTATCATGAGTGCTTGCACTTTGACCCGGGTGGGCCTGAAACCATGCTGGTTTCTTGGAAAGTGCAGGCACTTGCCCACGACTCCAGACATGAGTGTGCCACACCTGCATCTCAGAGAGAAATCCTTGCCAAGTCCCTTTTCTTCTTGAAAACCGTAGCACCCATCCTACCAAAAGCTATTTCTCCATCTTAGAGGTTCCAGAAGCATCCATTATTGAGACACAGGGAAATAATAGACTAAAGATGGTGTGACCATCTCTCTGTTCATGGCTGGCTGTTGGCACCTTTCATCCTCTGGCCTCTGCTTCTCCTACCTTCAGAGCCATGCAGCTCCCAGGTGTACCAGTGACACCCCAGCACCCCACATTTGCTCTATCATCCATCATTCCTGGTAGACATGACCACTCCGGCACCCCACACTTTCTCTATCACCCATCATTTCTAGGAGACATGACCACGCCAACACCCCACATTTGCTCTGTCACCCATCACTCCTAGGAGACAAGGGAACCACGCATCTGTTTGGACGTTCAAAGGAATGTCCTGGGTGTCTGTGCAGGGAGCTAGCTGCCACCTCTGGCAAACTTAGTAATCACTGCCGTCAACAGCCCTGCCCCATATAACCCTTTCATCGGCCAGGTGTCCCTCACACCCCACAGTGGGGTTTGAAAAAACATCTTTTGTGCTCACAGATTCTGCAGCCATGCTGATCTAGTGGTTGCCTGTGAGCCCAGCATCCCAATGACAGCAGCCGGGAGCAGTGAGCCCTGCACATTCCTCCAGCAACACCTGAGACGAGACTCCAACAAGGAATAATTAGCATTCTTCCTTTCGCCGCCCACGGTACTTCTCTAACTTAAAGAGTTCCCTAAAGCAGACGAGAGATTCCCGATGTCACTCAGAGGCAGCCCTGTGTTCATGGGAAGAAAAGCATAGGCATAAGAAGGCCAGGATCGGAAAGGAAAGCATGAACCACACTGAGGAGCCCGAAACCTTTAAAGAATGCTGTGATACTGCTCTTACTGGGGGTGGGAGGTTGGAGGGTGAAGGGTGGACATGAATTGTCAACAGGAAAAAATTCACAACTAATAATTTTTCACAAGTCTGTAGGAGAAAATAAAATGAAAATACCCTTCATGGTGGAATGTCTTAGAGAGCAACTGAGCATAGTCCTGACCCATGGAAGGTGAGTCAAGAACTATTGTGTCAAAATTAGTGGTCGGTGGGGACCAGATTATGGGTCATTCAATGTCCGAGTGACCTGGAGTAGCTTCAGCCAGGCCGGGACATTCTGTGTCATACCCCACTCACAGTTCCCATAGGCTTCTAAGTAGCATCAGCAAACAGCGTTCCTGGGGGTCAAGATGCCAGGACCAGCGCTGTGTCTGTGAAAACATACATCTGGTGATTTTAAAAGTTGTGTGTGCATGTGTCCGTGTGTATGTGTTGTGTGCAGCACATGCCTACATGTGTAAAGCTGCAGCCTCACGTGTAGACAGACTTTCTCCGGCACTTTCAAAGCTTGTAACCAGCCTTGGAGGTTTGGAGTGGGGGAGGGGTGTCTTAGAGGATGGAGAGGCTGTTGATTTCCATACAAAAGATCAAAGATAGAGATGAAGTGCCATCTAAAGCCTGCGTTCATATTTCCTACATGGTTGTCTGCAGCTGCGTTCCTTGGTGACTTATTAAGTCATGTTAAAAACTCAAACCCATCAATTCCCAGTAGCTAATGCTAGGTTAGTGTTCAAAAGCACTCTCAAAAACAGCTAGTCTATATCTTGGGAACTAAACTGTTTGCATGTTTAATCCATCTTTTAGGCTACCTTTGAGTAGACTGTACAGTGCTGTGTGATATAATATCAATAAAGTACTTATAAATGGCACTTTAATATTTTCTTTGGGAAAATCCTAATACACTGTTGTAAATTTCAGTGTTGAGTATTGACTGGTGCATAGAATCAAATTCTGTAATTAAACAGTAACCTGCAACTAGGATAGAACATTTTTCCTGTTATTAAAAAAAAACCAACAGTTTTGCCATGTTCAGGCTTTTTTTTTTTTAAAAAAAAAGTGTTTCTGTGCCATTGTGCGTATCTATAAAGAAAATACAATTTCTGTCAAGCACCTGTAAAACTTGGCTTTCTATGTTTGGTTTGTGTACCTGGCAATCCTTATAAAGTGAGTGGAAGTATGACTTTTGAATTAAATGATTTTTCCATTTGATGGTGTGTTCGTGTCTTGAATTTCTAATTAGTTTGACTAAACACATCTTAATTTCTTCTAATACGCATTTATACACTGATCAAAGGTCACAAGTCTGGGCCCTTTACAGTTGTGAATGTCAACTATAGAGCTGTTTTTTATGAGCTGGGAGTGACTCTGCCTTCCACTTACCAAGAGGTCACACGCTGGGATACTTGAGTCGGCTACTCAAGCCTCTCACACAGTTAAGCCTCACATTGTCACATCCCATAAAACAAACAAACAAAAACAAAAAAACTTAATGATTTTATCTCCTGGAACACATAGTAGACTCAAGCCCTCCAAATGTCAATTCTTTAAGCAGTTAACCTTCCCTAGAACTTGATAGAGTCCACAAACAGACTGCCTGTACCACTGAGTGTTCGCGCTTCTTGAGCCTTCCAAGGAAGTCCTGAGTTGTGACTTAGGACCCAGGTTTACAGTGAACTCTAGTCCTAGCTCAGGCTCCAAGGACTCGTGGAGGTCTCTGAAGAAAGGGGAGCCCAGGGCGAGGCTTCTCACCAGATGCTTTGCCCCACATCAAGGAGAGAGAGATGGGGGGGTGCACCTTTGGAGCCTGGATCCAAGGAGGAAAGCGACTGGAGTGTGTGGGTCACGTGTGAGCTGTCTGTCATGTTCTTCTGACAAGCTTGGCCTTGGTTGAGCTGGGAACAGCACACATAGCCCACATCTGTTTCCTAGCCAGGTTTACAGGGCCTCCAGCACCACCCAGTCCTTGAAGTCTACACGCATGGCATGCTTGGTTCTGAGCTGAGACTTTCTGAGGCTTTGGTGTACATGACCCCATCATAGCAGGCTATTGAGGGAAGCCAGATCAGGAGCTCAAACAGGCGAATAGGCAATAGCCGTGGAGGAAGGATGCTCACTAGCTGGCTTTCTTCAGCTGTCATAGCTACGTATACAGCTCAGGCCCAGCTGCCTAGGGATGGCACCGTCCACAGTGGGCTATGGTCTCCTGCATGTCTAAGCAGTTAAGAAGATGCCCCCGAAGACATGCCCACAGGCCAGTCTGTTGAAGGCAATGCCTCCATTGAACTTCCCTCTTCCCAAACAACTCTCTCATGTCAAGTTGACAACCAGCCCAAGCACACACGTATCTGATACTATTGCCAAGAGAACGAAATGTGTCTCTCCGTTCCTGTCCAGTCTGGTCTTGTCCTTTCCAGCAGACTTCCCAGTCACCCTGACTTTTGTGCCTTCACAATGTGAAAGGTTTTAGCTGTGACCTGGAGCAGAACTTGAAGGATGTCATGGCCAATGGCTTGCTGATGTTGCGATCATGTTAGTTCTGGCAGCATGGCTGTTTGGTTGTAAGAGTTCCACGGTTAGATATAGACTTGACTGACAGTTGAAATGAGGTGACCGTTTGTGGGTGTGAAAAAATATTTTCTCAGGCCCCAAATAAGTGCTAACTCTGGAGAATTATGCCATGCCTTTCCTCTTTCCTCAGGCCTTTCTCGAACTCCACTCAGATGCCACACCTCTCTCGCTGCCTTTAATAGCAGTAAGTTAAGCTGCAGCTAATTAACTGTGCTGAACTAGCCATGGTCGGCTGACTTTGGCCTGCTCAGCAGCCAAGAGATGCTCTACCAAGGCAGTAACCGCTGAGGTGGGTGAGGCTCCTGGCCTGGGAGAGTTGTCCTAGGGGAAGGGATGCACATACCAAGGTACCAGAGTATAGCCCTGGGATGCTTAGCCAACATCAGACATTTGGGGACCAGAACCAGGATGATTTTCCATCAAGATGATCAAAACCATATCCAGAGCAGTTGGCTGTCACACTACATAGCTATCCAGTCTTTCATGTAATTGACCCCAGGATCCTGGCCACAGCCTCTGCCAGTGAGGCCCAGCTGGCTATAATATGCCTTCCTGGGCCCATCCAGCCATCCAGTGAAGATTTCATTCATGGGGTTCTTTCTAGAAACATCAGCTCTCATTTTAGGATGTCCTATGTCCACCATCGCCACCAAATGTGTGCTCTGGTACTATGGCCTGATGTCCCTTATGCATTTATTAATTCAAATATGGGTAAGTGACCCTTGGCAAATGCCTCATTTGCTTATAGGCTCAGAGTAAAGCCTATAGGAGCAAGACTTTTCTGTCCTCCCCTCAGGCGTGTGGCCTCTTCTGTCAACACAGCAGGCCATTTGGATAACCCAGTGACCAAGAGCCAAAAGCCCCTTGACTGTCATCTGGGTTGCTGGTGACTCATGCTAAGAGAGATGCCCCTTCAACGAAACTCAGAATCACCCAAACCGTTAAAAGCACTCCTTCCTAAGGACCCATCAAGGAAATTTCACACTGTCCCAAGGGACCTGGTCTGGTATCTATCACTCTCACTAAGGGAATTCTTTGAATCTGACTGAAGTTTCCCATGGTGCAGCTGGAGCCCATTTCCGCCCTGGCTTTCCGATGGTGAAGAGTGAACTGGTTACCACCCTTTTTCAGAGCTCACGATTTGTATGTTCCCAGTAGTTTCCTCTCAACCAACACAGGCCAGGAGCTGGCAGCGCTGGGAAAGGAGCAGGCCTCTGACCTTCGGGGAGTCACACAGGCTGCGCAGAGAGGATGAGTCCCGGCTATGAGAGATAGGAGGAAGAACCGGAGAAGGCCTGGAAGAGGTGACCTTCAAGTTGGACCTTGATAGCTGGGGAGCCTGAGCCACTTCGGTACGTGGAAAAGTGTCCCGGTCCTCTCAACTAGAAAGGCAGCGAGGACCAAAGCATGGCAGTGCTGGGCCAGGAATGGGGTAACCCCAGTGTAACTGGACCATGGGGAAATAGGGCTTTCTGGAGGATGCAAATGGCTCGCCTCACCTGTTCCCACCTCCACATTTGGGTTTCTGTTTTATTCTCAGCTGACGATATTCTCTCTGGATTGATGGGCATACTTGGCACATTGCTAGATCCCCTCACTAAATCCTCAGGACACATGAAGCACAATAATCATCCCGTCTAATAGGTGACGGAAATGTTAGTGGAGGTCACACAAGCTAGGATGAGGTGAGCTGACAATTCCAGCACAAGGTCTCTCTGGTTCTGTGGTCCCTGTGGCCTTTGAAACCCTTTTCAGAAATCCCTTCACACATGACTATGTCTCTGTGTATGCACAGTCATTATGACCCACAACAGGACCGTTTCCACGTTTGGTAGAGGGCTATCCTTCCCTGTTTTTGCTTTGACCCACCCCCATTTCTGTCTTCTTTGTCCCTGTCAGTGATGTCAACAGCCTGATCTTGGCCTTCAGAGCCGAGAGCCTCTCAGGGAGCATGGCCGCTGGGGATGCCTGGCTTTGGCTCTGTAGACAGGATGAGGAGCTGGGCGTGTCTGGGTGACAGCCTTCTTTGCTCTTGGAGCCGTTCATTCCCTCGTCTTGGGCTAACAGCTCCCCAGTTGTTTAGCTTTCTGCTCATACTCTTGGTTTTCAGGTCAGCCACCCCCCCCGCCGCCGCCGCCCCCCAGATTCCAGCTGTGAGCTTTGGCAGACCTGCCGCCTTTGAGCCTGCACTCTGGAGCATCTGCGGAGGTCCAGCTATATTTGACTGGAAATATGACATGTGAAAAAAGATTTTTTAAAAAAATTTACTCTGAAAACTAGTTTTTCCCCACCTGGACCCAGCTGCGGAGGACAGACCTTCAGGCCAGGGAAACCCCATAGGCTGTGTCTTCGTATTTCCAGTCTGGTCCCCTTATGCTCCAAAAGAGATCATTTTATGACATTTCAACTCCTTCCTGAGCCAAAAAGTTAGAACTTGTAGCTAGAGAAGGGAACCTACTGTAGATGACAGCTGAGCGCCTGGGGCATAGAGGATTCCCGACCTGTACTGGGTTCCTCTCTAGAGTGAAAAGCTAGCTACCTCAGCAGTGGGGCTGACCTAGCAGTGGGCCTGACCTCAGGAGTGGGGCTGACCTCAGGAGTGGGTCTGACCTCAGGAGTGGGGCTGACCTCAGGAGTGGGGCTGACCTCAGCAGTGGGGCTGACCTCAGGAGTGGGGATGACCTCAGCAGTGGGGCTGACCTCAGGAGTGGGGCTGACCTCCGCAGTGGGGCTGACCTCAGCAGTGGGGCTGACCTCAGGAGTGGGGCTGACCTCAGCGGTGGGGCTGACCTAGCAGTGGGACTGACCTCAGTGGTGGGGCTGACCTAGCAGTGGGGCTGACCTCCGCAGTGGGGCTGACCTCAGCAGTGGGACTGACCTCAGCAGTGGGGCTGACCTCAGCAGTGGGGCTGACCTCAGCAGTGGGGCCCGTCTCAGGTGTTCAAGAGGCCTCAAGAGGACAGAGCTCTTCCTGGTTACAAAGCAGATTTGCCCTTGCTAGGCTTCACACCGACTCTTCCCGAATCCACTTACTTAATTCTCAAATCAACCCGGTGAAGTAGGTGCCTACTGTTATTCCATTATGCCCACGAGGGAGTCAAATGCCAGATTAGGCAACTTGTTCAAAGTCACAGAGTTAATAAGTAACGAAGCCGTGGTAACCCCAGCTCACCCCAGCACTCAGGATCATAACATCCGCAACTGTCACACTGGGGAAGGCCCAGAGGCTCAACTTCCCACACCACACCCCCACCAGGCCCTTCATCCCCCCCACCCTGAGAAAAGAGCTGTTGTTCTTATCTGCTGACTGCCAGCAGCCTTTCTACGGCAAGAGTCCCTCACTTTTTGCTTCAAAGAGCCGCATGCCCCTTACCCTCTGGTTCCAAGGGTTTGTATGACCTGGTGTCAACCCAGCATCCAGTGGTACCATGTGTTCTGGTGTGAGACCAAGTGTTTGATTGCTTCAGGAATGAACTCAGGTCTACGGTGCCACAGCTTTGACCTGGAACAAGGTACACAAAACCGAGCCCGAAACAGCATAAACCCTCTGAAGAAGCAAGTGCTGGAACACACCCTTGTGTGACCCTCTGCATCCATTCTTCCTGTCCCATTGGTTATCTGAAGGCCCAACGTGAGGCCCC